TAGGCCAGGGTCGCGCGCTGCCTGCTCCCGAGCATCTCCCGGAAGTGTTTGACCACCCGACCCATGAATCGTGGGTCCCGGTCGTGGCGGATCATTTCGCTGGCCCCGAACCTCCGGAACACGCATTCTTCGTAAGCTTCGGCCACGTCCTGGGCCTCGGTGCTCGCCATGGCCTTGCACATGATGAACCCCGAGAACGCGCACTGGAACAAGAGTAGTGCTGTGTTTCTCCAAGCTGACTGAGGTAACGGTACGACGAAGTCCATCGAGACGACTTGGATCGGCCGAGTAACCAGCAAATTGCCGGGTGATGAGCCTGGGTTCCGGGGTAACCCCCTTAGCCGTGACGCAAGTGACACAATCCACGCACTCTTTGACATACCGCTCCGCGTCCTTGAACATCCCAATCCAGTAGAATTCTTTGCGTAGTCTCTCATAGGTCCGGATGATACCCTGGTGGGCGCCTTGGAAGCCTGCGTGACAATGGTGCAGAATGTCCTCTTGGAGGTCTTGGGGGACCACCAGGCGGAGGCGGTCGGCAGTATCTCGGGGGCGTTCTGGAGTGTTTTGGCTCACATAGAATAGCGCGTCCTGGGAGTCCAGTACAAACTGGTCTGCTTTCTTGGCCAGGTGCGTTGTCTGCCTCAGGGACAGCCGTTCTGTCTCTCCTCGGAGGAATTTCACCAACGGCGCTAGTCCCGGGTCGTGCGCCTGGTGGGAACAGGTCCTCCTCCATCGTTCCCTACGGACATCCTCGGGGTCTTCTTCGGGGTCTTGGGAGTCGGGGTTCTGGGGACAGACTGCCAGCCCCTCTTCCGCGCCGTCGGTTCCCGACTCGTCGGCCCCGGGGTCGACAGATTCTAAGTGGTCGGTTCCGGATTCTGTAGCCGATTCTTCCGCGGCATTGCTCTGCTCGGACCTCGAGCGCGTCGTCACGAATGCTTCACCCACCGGGGAGCACCTAGGTATGCTCCGGGCTGTGGCTATGAAAGCGCACTCTACCAGTGATTGTTCCCTGGGACTCGAGTCCTTCATCAGTTTTTAGTGGATACGGTTCAGGCCTTGCAGAAGCTTCCGCTCCCCGAGGTCCGTGACTTCCAATGATGACTGCTCTTGGATGACCCGCTTGGAAATGTAGTCGGCGGCGGCGTTGAAGTCTCTGTTCACGTGTACCAGGCGCAAGGATTTGAACTTCGCTTGGAGTCCTTCGGCTTCCAGGAGCAGCCTCAACAAGTGGGGTTGGGTACACCCGATAACCCCCTGGAGCTGCTGTATTGCTAACCGGGA